GATTTGCTATAAAATTACTAATAAAAATGATCTATGTCACCCCTACCCTTAAGTATTTTATTTTAAATTCTCTGAATCTGCAATCTGTGTTAACATTACTAGATTATGTTTAAATTATTATTTCAATCTTAGAACTATTTTATTTTTAAGATAAATCTTCTAAAACCTTTTGTATTTATTTTTATAACTAACTTAGTATCACTATAACAGAACTAACACTTGCAGTTAGAACTAAGGTTCTTATTCATCTAATTCTTTATATTGATATCTATTTTATAAGATTAATCTTTATAGTAATATCATCAAAAATTCATGCTATCTCTCTGTTTAGGTTTTTTTAAATGAATTTCTTATTTCTTATTTTTTATAAATTTACACAACTACAAAAACTTATCTAAAGTTTATATTACCTAATATCAATTTACATTTTTCTGTATAACCAATTATACAGATGCTTTATGTCTTACTAGTTATATTAATGCAACTGTAATTATAACCTAATTATTAGAAACAGTTATCATAATATAGGGTGGAGTCAATAGAAATGAGACAAATCTATTAGATAAATTTGTCCTATTTCTATTGACTCCACCCCATATAAATATTACAAAGATAATAGTTCAAATTTTCACTATTAATGAGTTTTGAAACCTAATCTAATACTTGGAAGGTTGACAATATATTCACTTTACTAAGTTATCACACCTCTCTATATAATTTTAATTACACAAAAAAATGCAAACTGATACTAAATGATGCAAACTCAAAATAAATTTTTATAATCATATAAACCTATAAAACTAAGAAAACATCAACCTATTTGGAAAGACTTAAGTAAAAAGAAAACATGAATCTTTAATGATACTACTAATAAAGACTAAACTTAGAAAACAGATATCAATGTGAAGAAATCAGGCAAGGCACAATCCATAGAAGTAAGTAGATCTACCAACCAGGCTGCTAGATTTCAGACTGGATTACACTAAGAATTCGTTTTAAAAATTCCAGTCGTGATTCAAAAAAGTGACCAAACAATGGAAAAATTTTCGGCGACTAACATGAAAGTTGATAAGATAATTGAAGAATTACTTATCGTTGCACCAAATTATTCAGATCATAAATAAACAAGTAGATACATTAACACGCAAAGATAATGAAGGAACTTTCAATTCAAACAATCCGAATCACACCACTAATTACAACCGATTAATCGGTTATAACCGGTTATATGCAACCGGATTAAGCGGATTAAAATATTTTTAATCTTAGAACTGGTTTAACCCGTTATAAATTCGATTACGATAACCGGTTATATGCAACCGGATTAAGCGGATTAAAAGATTTTTAATCTTAGAACTGGTTTAGCCCGTTATAAATTCGATTAAGCTAACCGGTTCCAAACTCTAATCATGAGGAGGTTCGGTGAAAAAATTTTGAATGATGCTCTTTGTAAAAAAAATTAGTACTTAAAAAATATTTTGTTTTTGAAGATATAAAAAAGGAAATAATAACTGAATTAAAACATTTTTGGAATCATCTATTCCTAAATTGAGTTGAAAGATATTAAATATGTAATAGTAAAAACAATTATCACATAATTACCGTGTCTGCGAATACTTAATAATAAAAAAAGTTTCTATGTCATTTTTATTAATGCAACTGATGAATATTCGCTTCTTCCAGAGCAGAGTTGTTTTACAATAGAAACATTCTAATGCGTTTACTTGTAATCTCGATCTTTAGATTATCAATTTACTCAATCATGACTTGAAGAACGAATAATCTACCCATTTAAGTAAGTAACCAAGCTTTGCCAATTGGCTCTTGTCGAGGTTGTGCATCAGGGTTGAAGAACGCATTGGGATATAATCTGCGGATGTTTCTGCGTACAGTATAAAGTTCAGTCACACTCGAGAAATGAAATACACAAAGCGAATTTTCGTCTCTTCAGCGGTTTCGTTAGAGGCTGTCTGTCGCAAATGTATTCATCACCATTTGATAATTTGACGTATCCAATTTTGATTTGGTGAAATTATAATTACGGGATCAAGATAATCAACCTTATTAAGTTGTTCATCATATTTTTTAATATCATCCTCAGAGGCATTCGGGAGAATTGTCCTAAGAGCTTCCTTGGTTGATACAAACATTCTAGATACAATTGGAAAAGGGTTAGCCAATTACAATACAGCAATAGCTTGAATAAATCGTGTATCATACTACTAACTCATCTACGTTGTTTTTGGTGTCTTTTTCTGGTGAATAAATTGCAATGTAAAACCATTAGATTATCGGTTACATTATGATAAATCTGTTTATTCATATCAGTATCATAATACCCCTCAATAATGCTATATTAGCGATCATAACAGCAAAGATGACGAATGGTAATGGCTAAAAATGTGAGAAACGATTTAGAGAAGTTAAAAGAAAGTGGGAGAGTGCGAAATATGCCACGCAGAAATTTTTTACGCATTAACGTTAAGTCTTTGTCATAAATAGTGCCCCATGATTAAATATCCCACAAAACGTTGTAATAAGTGACATATAACGATAATTAGTGTCCTTTCTGGAGTGTTCTTGATTTCAACCGGAATTTTACCGGAAGTATTCTTGATGGGCGTCCCAGTGAAGTTTTTATGGTTAATCCTGAACCGCGATCCTAGCACGGTTTTTGCCTTCCAGTATGACTCGAACCGGCAGCCTTGCGATTGGGATCCGGGGCGAAACCAATACTTTATCGACCCACGGGTCAATTTATTGGTTAATCATTATGGGTAAAGGTCTGGCGATATCACCCAAACGTAAAAACTATGTGATGAGTAGTATCACGCAATGTGCCGCTATTCATCATGTAGTTTGGGACGGTTAGATCTAACAGTGAATACCTGTGAAAATTAATCAATCAAATTGCATAATTTAAAAAAAGTTATTGGTACTGCTAGAAAATAAACAAATAAATATACACAGAAGAAATTATCACATATTTAGAAAATAAATAAGTACTTATAAAATAGGGTGAACCGATGTTTATTACTAATGAACCAGAACTCATTAAAGAATACAATATATAACTAAAACTTCAATTTACAGTTGACAAATAAACAAGAATCTACCGAATCTGAACATAGTTCTTTTACGACTAAAGGGCTTGTGTCTATTTAAATTAAATAGCGGTATATTTAGATCTAACATAGTAAAGCAATCTCAGACGAAAACATTTCTAGTTCCTTCACTCTACAGCAGGGATGGCACAGACTAATAGACCATAGGGTCTTTTGGTCTTTATTTATTGGTCTATTGAATAGACCATCAATAGGTCACCAAATGACCATTCATTTTAAAGAATTCTTATTGGTCGATATGTATTATATGAATAGTTGTTGATTAATATAATTTTTTTTAAAAAAAATAAAGAATTCTTATTGGTTAATATGTATCATGTGAGTAGTCATTTGGTTCTGACCTAAAGACCAATAGATTTGATCTATTGGTTTTGGGTTCAAGCAAAAGACCTGGTCATTTGCCATCCCTGCTCTACAGTATAACTAAGAGGTGATGATATATTTCGTATTCTACACAAAGTCCGTCAGAAATGAGATCTTTTCGTGATTCTTTTGCATAGTGAGTGTTGACAGTGCCCTGGAGCCACAGATGACTTTTACGACGATTTTTTTATTAGTAAAACGCTGTTCTAAAAAAAAAAAAAAAAAACTTTAAATAAGCTACCTGAGCAATTAATTTACATTAGCTATGTACAGTCAAACCTCTCTATAATCACACCATTGGTTTTAATAATTTGATGCTTATAGAGAGTTTGTGTTCAATTTTATAAGTGTTATATAAACTGGGTTTAAAAATTATGTGATTATAAGCAAATATGACTATAGAGAGATCTGACTGTAATTAAACGAAATTAACCTCTGAACGTACTAGATCTTTCGAATAATTAAAGAATGACTTAATTTCTATATGTAAAAAAAAAGAATAAATATTTATAACAAAGTTTCGTTAAAATGCCTTTATTAAGGGTCCGCAAAAATATGAAAAACAGCAGTCTAAACCTGTCTTAGCAAAATATGTCGTGAAGAGCAATTTTACCTATATGCTTACCATTACCCTAAACACTAAACTAACTTAATCCTAGTTATAATTAAACCTTCGAAATCACGTTGGTACAAGGCTTTAGCGATCCCCCTTTATTAGATAATATTTAAATTTTGAAGCAACTGAAGAATATATAATATTCGCCGTAGATGATGTATTAAGAAAAAGAGTTGTGTAAAAAGCAGACGAAATTTTCGTATATATGTTTAAGTAGTGTCTAAAATTAATGTGCAGAAGGGCGGAACACCCGCGCATATGTTTTAAATTATGGACACAATATGCGCATTAAACTTTTAAATCCATATAATTTTAAGCTTTGGCTAGGCATCAGGCCCTCACTTAAATGACGGGCCATACCGATTATAAGTGATATGATGCGAAACCGAACGAACATCAATTTTTGTATTATAGATGTGTGCTATACGAAAATATTGGTGCAGCATTTTTGTCTTGAATCGATCGATTGTATTATTATGATTTATTGCGGGCAGTTACGATGGAATGACGTCGATTTCGATTGAAATCACACGTCCGTAATCTGACAGGTTAAGCCACTGATTTTAACCACAGTTCGATTACGCCTTAAATCATTATGAAAAAGCTATTTATAAATTAAAATTTTTTTTTTAACTAAGTAAAGTATGCAAATTAAAGTTTAAATAACCCTATCAACATCTAATAAGACTTAAAAAAGAACCAATTTTTTTAATAAAGTTATAAAAAAAAAAAATTTAATATAAAAGGTCCTTCAAATGCCTCGAGGTTATATGAGCGCTACAGAGCGAAAAGCTGAAGTGAATATTTAAGTTCTCATCGTGACGAATTTAGTCCCTGAAGAACTTCGATATTACGTACTGATAAATGATGTTTTGATAGTTTAGGACCTGATTATATACATAGTTAATTACTTAACATCAGAATTCACAAGACTAAATGGGCTAAACTCGCCATGATGAAAACTTAAATATTCACTTCCAGCTTTTCGCTCTGCGGCACTCATATATATTTTAAAAAAAAACTTGTATAAAACTGAATTAAGAAAATGAAAAAGAACATTTTCGGCATCACTTCATTCTTATTTTTTAACTCAATCTTTCAAAATACGAAGATAAATTCAACGATCAGTATACAGGTATAATGTAATAAAATAAAATCTTCCGAATATTTTTCTTTATGATTTAGTCGCGACTGTTCAATCAAAAGTGCTGTGAAAATATGAGTTCACGAATGATATGGACGAAAGGAGAATTCAGCTCTTTTAGTTGAAAAGGTAAGAATTAAGTAAAAAAATCATCATTTAAGTAAGAACGTGTTGAACAATTAGCACGGTTAAAGAAACGAAATATTGTTTGCTTTGCTTTGCTTAAAGTTATTATAATATAATAGAGGAATATTTATGTTATTCGTTATTTTAATTTTAAAATTAAAAGTTTTTTTTTATATAAAAGTTTTAGTTAATATCAAAAGACAACTTTTGAATTTGTAAGGTTTTAAATTCTAACTTCAGGTATTTTTTTGACAGTCAAGTCTTACGCTGGGAATATAGTTAGGCGGTGATTGAAATTAGTGGCTTAACCTGTCACAGATTACGGACGTGCCGCTTATCGTAATTATGTAGTATTTTCGATCGGAAAGAGTTTATTAAGGTAATCGTTAAGACATATTTATAGGGAACAATGTTTTTTCCAGACAAGATAATTTCTGTTTTTTATCTTAAGTTGAACTCCTTAATCGATCATCTAAATAAAGATCTTCGTGTGAATGTTTTTCCTGCTAACCCGACTTTGGTTTTTTTCGTTCTGCTCTCTCCTAAATATTGAATGTATTTGATAAGTGGCCTGTCGGGACGACAGTCACATGAACACTAGCGTATTATGCTCAGGTAGTATTGTGAGATGGAAAGAACGTAATGAGTGAATAGTTATGTGTTTTAGTGAATATCAGTAGGGTTGGCTGTCGGACGACAGTCAAATCCAAGTTGTTAGTAATAGGTTGCCGGTCACAGAAGTATATTTGTACATATTATTCTCAGCACATGTTCGATGCTCTCAAAATCTGTGGAATTTGCACGAAGGGGTAGAGACAGAATAACCGTAACTGTATTTCATTACTGTGGAAACACGCAGGCTCTTTAAAATTTTCCTTTTAATACTGTAATAAGAGCCTCGGGTATACCACAGTTTACGTCTTCAGAGGTTAAAACTGACGCGTAGATATTAACCAATTAGATTATAGTTTCTTTTTTTGATTGATGGGTCATATGTCTGGTGGCGTGATTACCTAATTTGTAAATAATTACATGCATTCGTCTGTTTTTCGCATTCATTTTTTGTCGACAAAAAAAGCCATATAAGATCGTTTTTTTTCTTATCTGACCCTTATCACTTTTTCAACATTATAGTTTTAATTCCTTAAATATATCTTTTATAAAAACAATTACCGCTCTACACACAATAATTAACGCCTTACCAACGGAATGTTTTACTGAAATATTTAAAATATTTGAACATACGCAAGAATCTAAGGGTAACTTATCTTTATTTATACTTATATTTTTTATATTTTTTACACATTTTTTTCATAATTATATAATATTTTTGTATTTTTTATTTTATTATAGTTTGCCGTGCCGTCGAGTTGAAGAAGCGTAAGAGATGAATAATCGATCTTACGTTAATATATTAACTTGACTCCTTTATAATAACTGCTTCTGGACTTTCAAATTACACCTTCGACGGTAGTAGTCCGGGTAAATACACGCAGTTAACTGAGAAAAGCTATTTCAAAAGAATGTTGGGATATTCATTTAAAATAATTTCGCTACAATTGCGACTTTTCAGGGTACTTAGGTTTTTTCAATTACTTACATTAATTTTCTTTTTCTATTGGGTTGAAGGTTTAGCGTTGGTTTAAAAAACTTAATTATTTCGAATTTATAAAAGCTTAAAGTTTTAATATTATATACTATTATAAATAAAGTTTTATACAAAAAATCGGTACAATAAAAGTTTATATATTAAATAAATAAAAGTTTATATTAATGTAAATAAAATTTTATATTAAATGTTGTAAATAAAAACTTTATATTACATTAAATGTTGTAAATAAATTTTATATAAAATTTTATAAATCAAATATTATAAATAAACAATCTAATATTAAATGTTATAAATAAAAATTTAGATGTTAAATATTACAAATAAAGTTTTATGTTAAATATCTACTATATAAATACAAACATATAATAGTTGCTTTTTTGAATTAGTCCAAATATCGAAACACGTAATTTAACCAATTAAAAATTTTAAATCAGACATTAGCTTTTTAGCTTTTGCAAACATTTTAAAAGAATACTATTTTGACTTCTTGTGAAATATTTTTAGTATTGATAAATTTGATTTTAAAAGAAATTTATAGAAAGAAAAATATAAAATGTGCAACTAATATAACGGTTCCACTTCACCGACATACAGAAAACAATTTGCCGACATGTTTTATTTCACTGACAAGTTCATTTCACTGACAGCTTATTTTACTGAAGCTTATTTCACAGACAACTTTTTTTGTTATAAATTACATTAACATTAACACTAATTCTAACCTGACCCTAACAACAATGACCAGAATTATTTTGTCGGTGAAATAATATTGTCGTGAAATGTTATGTATACAAAATGAGTGTCGGTGAAATGAGCCTCACCGGATATAACACATTATTAAAGTAGAAAGTTGCAGATTATAAAAATGTAACCAGGTTGATTAGATAGTATATAATACGTGAGTAGGGATTGATAAAGAAATACGCACGGTCACGCACACCATTATATAAAATAGAGCTTAAAATATTGCATGGTTTTCAAATTTATTAAATTTTTTGAGTTAAGCTAAAATTTTAATGGTTTATTTCGTATAATTTATTTGCTTAAGAACGCATATTTAAAGATTTCATAAAATTACTGGAACTTGAAGTATATGGACTAATTTAAGACACTGCAACAATGAGTAAATGTTAGTATTCGATTTAAACAGTTTACAATTATGAAAAATGTGCAAATTGCAACCGATATAATATATCTCAACTTGGTGTTAAACATGTGGCTTTCAGAAAACAACACGAAGTTTGATGAGTAAAAATAAGAATATCGGTTAAAAATGATTTATTCATGATCTGATATATTAATTAAATTATTAAAATATAAATTTAATCTATTTAAACAAATTTAAATTATACAGAATTTCTTAATGGGAAGCAATCTTTGAAGCATATGCACTAAAAAACACGATGGTGGATGTTTAACGGTATTTCAATGCGCATATAATGGAGGTCTTCATAAGCTCCTATTATCAACTTTTAGAGAAATTTATTGGAAAAATAAATTAAAACTTATTGATATATCAGAAAATCCAGCAAAGTTTATGAAGCAGATAAGTTCATGAAGATTTTCATAACGGCAAACGTAATATGCTGTGAAATAAGATATATTAATAAAGATCTAACAACTGTATATCACAAATTTGAAAAGACGAATCTGATTTAGAAGGTAGTATTTACAGCCTGCCAGCAACAAAAGTGTTAATAAATTGGAGAAAAATTGTCATGTACAAGAATTTGTTTGATGGTGTAAAAAACTATAATTCCACTTTTAAAAAAAGTGTATGAATTAAATAGTGTTATTGGTAAAGAAGAAGGAAGGAAAAGGTGCGTTTATCATATCAATCTCTTCAAGTGCAGTATATTACCAATCTTTTTATTCTGTATCATCTATTATTAAGGTATACTAATTTTCTTTTTAGGAACGTCCATCCCAATGGTTAGTAAAAGATGTAAATGGTGCCATACTAGATGTAGGACATGCGTTTGATAGAATAATTACTCAGGATAGAATAAACAAACTAAATTATAATCAATCTTACAGAACAACGTGGAGAATTTTGTTCTTTTATTCCATCAACAATTTTATCACAAATAATTCATGATTATCGTACAAAAACTCGAGACAATTTTTCAAATCTCTTTGAAAATTGTCATTGCTGGATGAGGATTTGGATGATGGATCCTAAAGACAATCAACAACTATTTTATAAGTTCTTTAGAAATACATGTTGCAAAGTGTAGGATTTTCAGTGGATTTAATGTTATTAATAGTTTAGAATTATTAAATTCCAACTCATACGTAACCAATACCTTTGAACTTTGGGAAACTCTGTTGAATGAATCCTTATACTCAAAAGATACATGGAATTATTAAGTTCTAGATCCTCTTTTAAGGATAGAGTACAACGTAGATCATTTCTATATATAATTAGTTGCAAAAAAATTTTATATAGTAACTATAAAATATATTACTAATAAAGCTTTTTTATTTTTTAATTAATTAGTAAAAAAAATTTATAATATTATAAATAAAATTATCTATCTATTATAGTAAAATTTTGAACTATTATATTATTTTAAAAAAATATACTTGTATATATGATAAAGTTTGCTTAAGTTGATCAAAATTTTCCTAGATAATACAAAATTAGATAATTTGATTGGCTAATTTACGTAAATCTATAAGTTAATTTTATTATATAGTTTTATAGTAAATGTTTAAAAATTTATATTTCAATAAGTTTTTGACCAATTTTAATAATTTTATAATCATCAAAATTATAAAAACCTATTTTACAATTTTTGTATAAGAATTAAAATTATTTATTTAATATTTTTTTCAAAAAATTAAATATAAAAAAAAATTGCAAAAATTTAAAATTAATATGTATAGAAATAATTAATATTGTATTTTATTTTTAAAAAGATTACAAAAAAAATTAAAATTTGTTTTTGAAATTAGTATATTCTTATTTTATAATTAATGTTAATCTATTTAATTCAAATTAAAAATAGTAATTATATAATTGGATTTTTTTATAATTTGAAATAGTTATTTAATTTTAAAAGATAAAAAAAATTTATTATATATTGTATAATTTTAAAATTAAGCATCTTTGATTCATACTATATAAAATTTAATCTGTATTGTAACAATTTTGACCTGCATTACATGTAAAAAAAGAGTGTTTAATTTCAAAATTATACAGTATTTACAAAAATATTTTACTGTCTAATTATAAGTTATGTTAACTTAACACAAATTGCTAATTTTTTTGTAGTCATTTTTAATGTATCTATATTATTTTGCTATATATTTTATATATTATAGTTAAGGTTAACACTTATGATTAGAGGTTTTGTTATTTTAGATAATATTATTATTAAATTATTTTCTTAGTAAGAAGATTTAAATTTTTATTAGTTGATCTTTAGTATAAATAGACAAATATGATTATTATATAATTATAATATATATAAATTAACTATTTTAAATTAATTTAAATAAAATTACAAATAGTTTGAATTAGGATTAGAGTTATAATATAAATTGGCCTAAATTAGATAAGTTTTATATATTATAATTTTGTAATAATTTATATATGCCCATTAGTGATGCAGGTGAATCATCCCAATGAATTTTACAGTATATGACAAGTTGCAGTTATGGTTGCAGCAAAAATCACATAAGTCTACTGTTTCATAATCATCAAACAATACCATAATGTTATAACTTTCATATCCAATTAATTAATGTCATAACTTGCTATAACTAATTAATGATGTAATTATAATTAACTTTGTAACTAAAAATTTAAATAAATAAATAAAATAAATAAATTTTTTACTGTAAATTGCTTTCAATAAAAATTTTTACTACCATAATGGAATCATTTGCAGAAACTAATAACCAAGAATATGAAATTTTATTCAGATTAAATTATAATACAAATCAATTCTTTATGTCTATTCCTTAATGTTCTACATTACAAGCTTCTATTTAGAGTTTCATCTTATCTAGTTTTGCTAGTAATCAAAGTATTTCATCTAAAAATATTCTAATTTCAAATCAACCTAAAAAAAAATACTATGATAGACCTAGTTCTGATTTGGTTTGGAGTTACTTTTATACTGAAGAATATTTAAAAGATGGTCATTATAACACAAGTTGTAAACATTGTTCAACTACTTGGTCACATGAAAGACCACAACAGCTTAAATGTCATTTGGTGCAGAAGTGCTTACTTGTTCTACAGAAAATTAAAGAATTCTGGTAAAATAGTTTAACTGAAGAAGAAAAAGATATTAAACAAAAACATAAAACTAAAATAATATTAGAATTAATCAGTTAAATATCAAAATAATATTAGAAGAAAGGCAGAAAGAAATTGATTAGGCTGTTTTAAAAGCTTGAGTATGCTGGGTTTCCTTTTGAAATGATTAATAATCTATTTGTAATTGATATGTTTAAAACTTTGAATCATAGATATAATCCTCCTTTATAGTATACTCTTTCTGAATGTATTCTTGATAAAGAAGTGACTAAAGTTGAGAAATTGATTGATGAAGAGTTAAAATTTGAGAAGAATTTAACATTAAGTAAATAAGTTTATTGTTTTTTTTTATTTTTATTTTTTTTAATAAAAATTTTTATTTAGCCCTTGACAGGTGGACTACTCCTTCAGAAGCATCCTTTTTATAATTATATTATTACAATATCTAGTTGGCAAAAGCATTTATTTTAAATTAAAGACTATTCTATAACATCAACAACTGGAAATTTTTTAGCTAATAAGATTAACAATGTTTTAAATGAAATTGGTATTAGCAAATTTGCAGCTACTGTAACTGATCAAGACTCAAATATAAAACAGGCTAGATATTTAGTGAACAATAAATATAATTTTATTTTAAATATATATTGTGATGCTCATACAGTTAATTTAATTATCTTGAAATGAATGAGATAAAAGAGCTAATTAGAAAATGTAATTTAATAATAATTTTTTTCATTATTCATTAATGACAAATAGTCTTTTAAAAAAGTGATTTATAGCTATAAATATTGAAGGAAGTGATCTCAAAACATATTGTAAAACTCAATATAGTTCATTATATAATACTGTAGATTTATTGATTTATGCTTAACCAGCTTTTAATAGCATGACAGACATTCGATTTGATTGGCTTGAAGATCATTGAGTTACACAACATAAAAAAAATTTTTAAAGTAACTCTTACTATAAAAAACTACATTGTCAATTGGCAACCCGTAGTTTTACATAATAAATTTTTTTTTAATACATATTATAGTGTTCTTTAACTTTTCGTCTATCTTCTGTAAAAAAAAATCAGTATAGATCAGTATCTTTAAAAACTTTACTTATAAGAGCAAATTTAGGTAAGTAATATGTATATATATGTATAACAAAGAAGTTATATAAACATTTTTGCTTTTTATAGTATCTGCCTGTGTTTATAATATGCTGAGCATTTTTGTTCAGGCATAACATGAGGCACTAGTGCCCAATACGTCTGGTATGAACATTTATTAGCATTAGCTAGGCTTCCATAGCGTAACTACGAATTGGAGTTAAAATAATCTATATTCCGCATGATTATCAATAATAATTATTTTTTCTAATGCAAATATTACTAATATTTTAAATTTTTTTTTCGCTTTAGCAATTGTCTTTCGGAGTTGCTGTCGTTGCTGGAGTTGCTGTTGTTGAAGCAATTCTGGATCGCCATCAGTGCAAGCTTGTCACTTCAAATATCATTTTCGATGTCGTTTAGGTGCCTTATGGATAGTGCTCTGATCGGGTTTGCCTGAATGACTCGAAACAAACCTGGTTATAATAAATTTATTAGATAGATTATGACCCATCTAGTAAATTCATTATAACTGGGTTGGTTTCGGGTTATTTGGGTCAACCCGATTGGAGCACTACTTACAGATCACTTGGGGTCATAATATTACTGAGCCTTTGTAAGTATAATGTTAATCTAGATGTCAGCATTTTTGGTGTCATTGTTTAGGTATTTATCACTTATAGCAGTTCTGTGTTGTTGTTAGGCTTCCTTGTAGTGTAAATTTTGTCGATTGGAGTGGTTTTATGTCGTCGAGTTACTGGAATTTTTGTAAGTGTAATTTCTGTTCTAGATGTTATTATTTTTGGCATCATTGTTTAGTGAATGCACTTTGCAAGAACATCACGCTAACCTTTTTGGATCTTTCATCGATAATCTTGGATTAGAAGAAGGGAAGGCATTAGTTGATGCAATTTGCAACATCATGCTAACATTATTTGCAGCTTTAATAGTAACAAGTTAGGTCAAAATAAAGATAAGTATTAGCAAATCGCTTTGAAAAAACACCATACTGATCTCATTTCATAGGCAGAAGTTTGTTTGATTTGCTAATAAGTTCAATTTAATTTTATATTATTCATACAGTTTAGAAAACTTTTTAAAAAACCGAAAACCAACTATAATAAAATAAAAAAAAATCATATAGGAGGTTTCTTTAAAGCTGTAGGACTCTATAGTCAAAAATAAGATCTAATTCTAGCCCGTTTAAAAAGATTATCTTAGTAATAAGTTCTACAGTTCTAATGAAACTTTCTATATGTTTTTTTTTTTTTTTTTTATTATAGTTGGTTTTTATTTATTTAAAAAGTATTCTATAACTGTATAAATAATATAAAATTAAATTGAATTTATTAGCCAACCAGACAAACTTCTGCCTATAAGATCTCATTGTGCCTTAATAATCTTATATTAGGAGACGAAAATACATTATTAATGCAGTCTGCAAAAATAACATTGTGTGTTATATTGAATCGGAATGAGGAAAATGATCCATATCATTTTACTAAGAATTACTTTTTATTCACAGACAACTAGTTCATATACAAATTTATTTTACGAACAATCAATTTGCAGACAAGTTTATTTCATAGTTTATTGTTTGTGAATTGAATGCCTATAAAATAAATCTGTTTATGAACTAATTATCTGTGAAATAAGGTATGAATTTAATCAGCTTAAATTTCTTTTAATCATTAGCTATATTAACTGCACTAATATTTTGATCCATGATTAACATAGTTCAGTCTGGCGCTGTGGACTACAAAAAGTAATTGCCTACGACATGTAATTGTTTATAATGTAATAATCTACAATGTTGTTGTCTATGAGCGGCTGTCTACAAAGCAGTTGTTTTCGAGATGGTTGTTTACAAAGTTGTTGTCTACGAAGTAATAATGTAATCATTGCTGAAATAAATAGATTTGATAAATTTAAAGTTAGATTTTGGGTTAGAGATAAAATTTGGTTTAGAGTTAGGAATAGGATTCGGCTTAAGTATTAGAATTAAAGCAAATTTGAGTTTTATTAAAAATGAATTAAAATTATATACAGTATGTATTTAAAA